GTATGATTTTGAAAAATGTAGTATTTTTAATACTCATTATTATAGATAAAATTGTAATAAAATGAAAAGAGACTTAGAAAGCTTTCATTACTACCTAGATGCATTCTTGCTCAAACAGAAAATAGTACTCATGGTCAGACTTTTCTAATCCAGCCATAAATTAGTTTATTTCCATAGGAATAACAAAGACATCATGATAAAAGAAACAAGAAACCTAAATATTATGAGTTAATTTATTGTTCACACTTATAACAAATCGTGGGTCACATGAGATTGTTTATTCAGCAGTTGCAAAGTAAAACTGTCGTGATCGCCTCGCGACTCCCTCAAAGCCGGCTGAGCGGGGGGACAGACCGACCGAGAAGCGGGGAGAAGTTGCTTGTCTTCTCCGGGGGCTCGCGACGGGCCACGGGAGACGAGGCACGTCCCCCGCTTGCTTCTGTGTGTCTGGCATTTGGTGTCCTGCCGCCTTTGGGACACGTAGGTGAGGAGGGCCTTAAAGACCGGGTAAAGTGTCCCTTTTGAGCCCGGAGGACGCTCTTGGGTTGTGGTCACTTTGGAAGGGGGTGAACGAGGCCAGTGTGGACGTGAGGACGAGGCGAGGCGGCAGAGCCCGGGGCGCAGGGCTTCCGGCCGGCGCTGCCAGAAGGGCCTGGGGCGGGGGTGGGAGTGGGGGTGTCGGGGGGACTTCCCGCAGGGAGCCCCTCCCGGGACAGTCTCCTCAGAGCCTCTCCGAGGCAGGGCATCCTCTGCCTCTCTCCTCCCTGTCTTCCCGCTCCTCCCCCGCCTTCCTTCCCCTGTCCGTTCCCCTCCGCCCCTCCCCGCCCCAATCAATCTTGCAATCAATACCAGCATTGGATTTCTTCCCTAAGAAACGGCTGGCTTTGATTTCCCCTCCGGACTTGAGGTCTTTTCTTGCTCGCCACTAGCGCTCACCCCTTCGAAGTTCGGGGCTACTTTCCGCGGGAGGCTGTGGACGTCCGCTGAAGACAGTCGCTTGTAAGAACCCCGGCGTCTGGGGTGAAGCAGATCCTTCCCCAGATACACTTTGTGAAGTAATAGATGGGTAGGCATACATTTCGTGGTAAATTTTCACAGCGCACCGTTTTACTTACCCATTTTGTCCACAATTGCAGCTGGAGATGTGCATTTGTTCATTATTATTTTGAAAAACTTCGAGTAATTGGTCTCGACTCTTCTGAGGTCATAGACACTTTTAAGAGTATGATGAAACTGATAAGCCTCCCAGAAGGGGGAAAAAAAAAAGGCACATACATATTAGGCTTCATCACAGTGGTTCTCAAGGGGGGAAGAGAGGTTATCCTCCTCACCCAACATCTCGCAAGTTCTGGAGATGCTTCTGCTTATCATGCTCAGGGAGGTGCTACTAGCATCTGGTGGGGAGAGAGAGGCCAGAGATGCTGACTACTCTGCAGTGTGGACGGCTCCTCAGAATTATCTGGCCCTAATGTCAGTAGTGCCCACGTTGAGAAAACCTGCTTCAGTGAACTGTCTGGTGGTTCCCTGTTCGCCCGCGGTCCATCCATGAATCCCAGATTCAGAATCTCTGATTTAAGTGATTTAAATGGTCTCGTACAAAACACTCGATACTGAGCCCGGTGACGGCTTTGTATGAATTGGTCTGACTGGCAGTTATGTGCCAGACCCTTAGCTATTACACAGAGCCCTTAGATCTACAATAACGTGAAAGGAGAAGACATGACTATATAAACACAAAATAATGATCGGGAGAGCCAGACTCACCCTTCACTCAACCTGCTGGAGAAGTTGGTCTTGGACGCTTTCTCAAGCTTGGAGGAGTTTTAAGCCCTGAGATCGATGACTGGCATTAAGTCCTTGCCATGTCCGTCACTACACCAACTTTTCTTAATAGTGTACTTTTTCTAGTTCTCAAAAAAGAAGGGAAAAAAAACTATGGAAGAGGTGCAATTATTATTTTACAGAGAAGTTAAGTTATCTGCCTGCGATATTATAGCTAAAAAGTAGTCTTTAAAAATCTTATTATCCGCATTCTGTTAAACAGAGTAAATGTTATTGCAGAGATTCTGCCTAAGGTGAGAAAAGAAGGTAGAGGAGGAAGCTGATTTTTTAAATCTATCAAGATAGAATATCAGTTACTTGTAAAATCATAGTGTGTTATACACTAGGACTGAAATTTGTAACTTAGGTGAGTGAATTGGCCAAATGGTGACCTTCCGAGCCTAAATTATCTCGTTTGTAAAAAGAGATTGGAATAGATGATTTGCAATGTTCTTCTACCTGATGACTTCCTGGGTCATGATTAGATAGGTACTTTCATATCCGAGAAAGAGTTTGGGGAGTTCTAACTTTATTCAAGTGTGTAATTTTACAGATAATGAAGCAGGGTTTCAGAATCCTTCCCACGTCTTACCCAAGCCCAGCCTAGAATGCGTCCTTCCTTACTGCTCTTCCCTTTCTACCATGTAATTATCTTCCTCAACTATAAACTCTTTTGAATTACTCCTTGGGCTCTTACAATCATACTTTACAGGCTAAGTGCAGTATATCTTTAAAATCCTTGCCTTAAATTTGTACCTTCAAAGGATCTTTAAATTGCTTTCCAGAAGTCCCCACACAGCAGATACCATTTATAGCTCTCACTCAAGGTCTCAGTTTCTGTATACTTGGGACATAGTCCCATAGAGTCATAAGATGAGATCGTGACTGTAGAAGTGTGTGGGAAGCTGTAAAGCACCTCGGACAACATTTTTGGTTGGCTACCCAATATTAATTCCCAACTCACTCTCCCTTTTCACCTTTCTAACCCCACTTACAGCCAGTGGTGTCACGTGACTTTATTCGAGCCAATGAGTCTGCTGAGAAATCCTCTAGGGAAGATCGCAATCTCTGATAAAAGGAGGAGGCATGAGAGACAGTCCTCTCACTATGCTGGCTGCCTTTAGGCGCATTCTTGAAGGATGAGATGTTCGGAACTGTGGCAGCCTCCTTGTAACTATGAGGGGAGTCACAGAAACCTAATTCTGGCACCATGATACTATGGAGCTACACACCTCCTTTTGCATCTTTAAAAGTAAAGTATAGAGTGTTAATATGATTTAAGTCACTTTTATTTGAATTTTCTGCTTTTAGCATCTAAAAGCATTCTTCAGTGATAAAGCACTGTGCAGATAGGACGTATGGTTCGATGACAGGAAATAAACATTTGTTAACATTGTATCCCAGTGCTCAGCAACAGAAGGTAGATACTCAATAACTGAACATTCACTGAGGAAATTAATGAACAAATCAATAACATTGTGATTATTATCTTTGTTCTAGGGCAGCCTACAGAGTGGGTATTTAATTTTTAAACAAATGGGGTATGCTATGTGACATTAGGGAAGGAGCCTGAGGGTGCCATATAGGAAACACCGTGGGATCGATCACTCTGACCATCGTAGAGAAGTTGGAAAGGGACTTCTTCCGTTCACATTTGCGGCAAACACCATGATTGGCAGATACAAGGTCCATGCCCAACCCTCTTCTTCCACGTCCTTCTTTCCAATAGACAGTGTGAGCTAAAAACCTCCGTTTCCCGGCCTCGCTTGAAGTTCGAGTCACCACGTGACAGTGCTGGCACCATCGCATCCACTTCCTCTTCCCTCCAGCCTAAATAGAAAGTGGATGTCACCGTACCTGGAAGCACAGAAGCCCTCTTTCAATCATGGGGGGGACGTGGATGAGGACAAAAGCCACCGCACTAAGAATGACGGTGTAAAGCGGTGACGAGAGACGGGATCCTTGGTGTCTTTGTTAGGCTGCTGCATTATCTTCAGACATCTCTTGGGTGAGAGCAATAATCTTAGCCATTTAAGCCACTGTCATTAGCAACAAAAACATGCCTTCGAGACCATTCGAACTAACTGTTCTCTTGAGTCCAGGAGCCAGCACCACAGTAAAGTGGATTAGACAGAACACAGAGGCACTAAACAGAGCACAGCAAAGACAGAACAGTGCCAAGAGAGAATTCTCCAGCAAATGGTGGCTGTCGCAGGCATTGCTTGTCCGCAGTGTGTATTAGAGAAGATGGACCCTCTCGAAAATCTGGCAATAGAAACAGAAATAGCTAGGAAAATAGTTGACCAGATTCCTCTCCTTAAAGTCTTCACTCTGAGAAATTGAAAAAGGACAGAAATTCTCAGCATTTATCAAATATCCTGATATAAGAAGGGTCCCCTTGAATACAGACCAGCTAAAGAGAGACCGTAGGAGGTGTCAGGTGCCAAAGAGGGGGTAACAGGAGAGGCCGGTAACACAGCTGGGGGAGAGAGGTCGCTTTCACTGCCTCAGTTCCCTATTGGAATATATCGCTTGTTCCTCAACAAATGCTGTGAGATGCCCCGAGAAGCGCTCCGCTAACTGAAAACCTAACCACAGTCGTCAGCAGAGACGGACATAAAATAAACGATTTGAGATCATGGTGAGTTTCTCCTTTCTGCCATTTTTCCCTTTCATTCCTTCACTTCTAAACTACCCATTCCCTTCATGAATCCCTTTTGAAGACAAATTTAAATGGGTATTGCGATATTTTACAGCATCATGTCCATCTCTTATGGGGGGGAGGGGGAAATGTCATGGGACAAGTGACATCTCAGGTTTCCTGGACTCCAATTCGAGTAGTCTCTGAGCAAGACCTTGTATTCTTCCATTTTTAAACAAGGCCATCTCAGTATCCTATTATTGTGCCATAGCTATTCCGGCGTGCTATTATAATAGAGTCACCTGTTTCTTTTTCTTTGTACTTTCTTTCATGTGTTTGATAGATGCAGGACCCCTCTTCCTTGTAGAAATTGTATATGTCTAGTTATGCATAGTTTCTAAACATAGTGATTCGTATGCTATATTCCCCAGGAACTCTCATGGAAAGAAGGTGTACACAGTCCGCAGTCTGCTCCCAGGAGTGCTGTCTGCATTATTCATTTAAAGTTCGAGCATTACTTTGGAAATATAAAGTGCTCTATAATTTCTCCATATTATTATTTTATGAATTAATGTAGCACAAATTTTCGATCAATTAATTATTCATAAGAAGAAAAAGGTAAAGTGTTAAATCACATTTAACATAGCAAATATTTCACAGTAAACCATCAAAATGGAAAATGTCCATAATACATTATGTATATATATTTTCTACATGACCCAGCATGATTTCTAAAGCCGTACATAATTATATTTAATACTGGATCAGTGTCATGCTTTTGCTTTCAAATCCTTCTTTTTTCTTCCTGGATCAAGTCATCTCAGGCTTTTCGATGTTACGACTGTGTGTTCTGTTTTTTTAAAAATTTCCCCAGGATATGTAGAAAAATGAGTATAATAAGTTCTATAGAAAGAGATACGAATTATTTTTTGTGGATGATAATATTTGCCACCAATCGGTCATAACGCATCAGAGAATTTACAAAGATCTGTTTCTACAGTACTTTAAAATCCGAAACCCCTCCTCATCAAAATAAGATGCATTGTAAGGATCAAATGAGTAAGACAATGGTCTAACAGAAGAAAGCCAAAACGTAAGCACTCGATTTGGTATTATAATACTAACTGGGACTTAACAAACATTGATTTTTCTGAAGTAAATAATTTCATATCATAGCTACTATGAAATGGCAGAGTGGACATGCTTCTTCCCCAGCTCTCTGGTTTCCCTCCAGAGAAATGTGTCTCGAATGCACCTGTCCACTCATCCGAGCACTTGGGGCAGCTGGAGACCCCAGGAGAAGTGCCCTGTGTGTTTGCTTGTCGCTGCTCCTCTCCCGCTGGTGACTCTCCCTTATGGGGCAGGGGTCCTCTGCCACTGCCGTGCTGGTGGGGGAGGAAGGCTGGGGGCCTGCTCTAGGTCACGTGTCCGCCAGCTCAGGGGCTCGGTGAGCCAGCCCACCCTCTTCTCCGCGACAGCCTTTATCAGTAATCACCGCGATATTTTGGCCTCCATCTGCCACGTTCCTCCTCAATCCGTTCAGGTGCATCTGGTAAAGAAAAGCGCCTCGTGGGAGACCCCAACAGGAACGATGGCAAACTGGGAGCGGGCGGGCTTCAACGCTCCTTATTACATACGGATGCCACGTCACAGCTAGTATGCCGGCAGCAGCGGGTCTGTCCAAACAGGTCACGGAGAAAAGAGGGGAGCGGATTCTCAGCACTTGGCGCTGAGTGGAGCTGCCGGGGCCCGTCCTGGAAACGCTGGGGTGGGCTGACTTGCCAACTGGAGTGACCGCGTGGCTGGAAAGAGAAGGCTCTTTGGACAGTTCTGTCTTTGAGAGATCAACGACTCGGTGTGTTAAAAGCCCAAGAGCATGAGTGAGGTGACGAGAAGCAGAAGATGCAAAAGCAAAAACAGCCGTAAGAGCAGCACACGGCGTCCACACGTCAGCAGGTGGACACGGAAGGGGCGATGGGCGAGGTCCAGGGCGGGGTCGAGGTGGAGGAGGGAGAGGGAGAAGGAGGAGGCAGGAGGAGGGAAGGAGGGAGCGGGTCAGGGAAGGGGAGGGAGGGAGAGACAGACAGGGAGGGGGCGTGGAGACAGGCAGAGGGGATGACTGTTCGGTTTCCGGTTTTCCGTTCTGGTTTCTTTTTCCCAGGGAGAGATGGGTAAATAGCAATGCTGCGTCTTCTGCCTGGAAGGCACAGACGCAGGGCACTCGTCACGTCTGGTAAGGGATGGGGAAAATATGGATCCTCTGACTCAGTGGCCGCCGTGTGGGTATTCCTGTGTCATGAGGAACACATCAGCTTGGGAGCATTAGCATCCCGAGCGACAGTCACTACCTGCAGGGAGGTGATAAGCTAAGCTTCCCAGTCCTTTGTCAGATTATATAGTGACAACCGAGTGTAATAATTGGTGTTTCGTATGATGCCTTTTCCAACCATCTCAGGCCATTGGCCCGTCCTTCCTCTACGCTTCCAATCAATGTATCACTGCTTCCACTAGAGTTGGCTACAATGCAGTGTGATTGTTTGGTCGTGAGTGTGGCTCTCAACCTTGACTGCTCTCTCTTCAAAAACAACCTTACTCCTCTGGTAAGCACAGAGCCGCTGCATCCATTGTAAGGCCTAAAATGTCATGGGCTGCTCGTCATCTTCGAGTCTCACAGAGTCCCAAAGGCCTCATTGCGAGTTCTCTCCTCTTGCCAGATATGCCGCCCACCCAGAGAGAAAGGCCGCCCCGCCCCTCTGACCAGCTCCCTGTCAGCCAGATCAGCTGCACCCCACCCGGTCCTCAACCTCATGGGTTCAACCTCCCCACCAGCTGCGAAGTCATTCAAAGAATCAGTCACATCCTCCTGTGGGAACCAGGAGGCACTTCCTATTCTCGTTGCTACAAAGCCTGGCTCCCTGAGCCCCACGTGGGACCGTGCCTGTCCTGTGGCACCCTCCGTCCCCAGACTGTGGTATGTACAACTAATAAACTACTGTCTTCTCTTCCGTCCAGTGTCAGGTGTCGCGCTATTTAGAATGGCAGACTCCTTCCTCATCAGTGAGGTGAATGAGAGGCCATCGGAAAAATGCTGAATAAATACTCGATTTTAAAAAATTAACGTAAAATCCTGGAACATCAAAAAAAAAAAAGACTACATTATGTATTTTTATGTTTTTATAAAGGCGCTCAATTATACAATATGCTTTGGAACTATTTCCAAATAGCAAAACTTTAAAGTTTGGAGTGTAAAATCCTAACATATCTAGAAATATACTAACCAAGTCGCCCGCCCCTTGATTAGTACAGGTAAATTTTAGTAGGTAATTGAAATAAACAATAACTTGCGAATTATTAAAATGTGGTAATATTGAGGGATTTTTTTTCTTTCGACTTATTTTTTTTTCCCCAATCCTTCTTCAAGTAACCTGGATTACTTATAATACTAAAATGTGTAATTAGATGTAGAAGCCAATTATCAATTGGACAAGCCCTCTGAAACACAGAATAACTTAATCTAAACCCCTGGACAGAACTACTGAAGAAGAAGCATATTCCGGTCACAGTAAAGAAGGTAGGGCTGGTCCCCAAGTGGGACATGCATTTTAAAACTCGCATGAACTGCCGGACGCTAAGTGCTCCCTCAAAGAGCAGACCCGCGTGTGAGAGCGTTGTAGAAAACAGCCAGGCTCGGTCTGAAGTTCTACCGGACTCTATTTCTGTTCACTCCTCCTCTTCTGGGGCTCGGTTCCTCTTTCCCGCCTCTACGTGAGCCCATATCCACGGAGGCCCCTACGTTTCTGCCAATCGGCTGGGGGAAACTCTAGTCTCTCGTCACTAAGCAGTAAGACCCCATCTGCCTCCGTCCAGAGCTCCCATATCACACCCCAAAGTGGTGACAGAGCACCTCTTTATCTCCAAAGTAAGACCGCGCCAGGTGGCAGTGTTTTAAAGGCTTAGAGGAGGACGGGGAAGGGGCTGCATGGTGGCTCTGCAAAACGCCCCACCTACAGTGGAATGTGGCTGCCCGGATTCCAGAGCCCCGCCAAGGGCAGTTCCACAGAGGTCGCTACCTCCTTCCCACTCACTGCCATTTCTCATGGCGGAGTGGGTCCTTCCTCCTCGACCCTCCTTCAGTTGCCCTTCCTGCACCCCTAACTTTTTCTGAACCACTTAACACCTCTCCCCCAAGCTGCCCTTGGAAACTGAAGTTTCTGTTCTTTGTATCGTCTGAGCGTTTCAGCTTTGCCTGTTTGTCTCACGGTTGTTCATTTCTTGGGAGTGAGCTGGCCAGCAGTACTGTACTGCCACCCCTTCCCCGATCCAGTTTAAAAAATGTTCTCTTGCTAAGGGGATCTGGACTTGTGCCTTCCTCAAGTGTTAACTGGCTCAAACATCAGTCTGCTGTTTAAAAATATAAACTAAACATATTTAAAATATATTGTTAGACTATGTTCCAAAGGACACTTCTTTAAAAACAACTTTTCATATATTCAGCATGAATTTTATATCTTCTTAGGACCCTTTGAGCCAAAAGAGTAAAATAAAAAGCCCACATTATTACTGGTTTAAGAAAGAACACATGAAATACACCACTATACTGCCTTCAAAAGAGTAATCTTTCCCCCAGAGAAGTCAGAGGCGGCTTCTGACCATCACTACATGGGGAGTCAAAGACCCGAGTTCAAGTTCAGAGTCTGGATCTGGCCCATACTATGACTCCGATATCAGTGCTGTTAGAACCCATTGGCCACGTGCCTGAGGTGAACTGAATCAATTCATTCATTCATATTCCTGGTCAAGCTCGAATTAATGGTAGTGCTTGAATTAGAATGTGATTTTCCTGCATGTTCAGTACTTGTTCCTTTATGCCAGAAGCCTCCGAGTGGCAGAAATGCAGCAAAAAGCAATTGGACTTGTAGTCGTTTTGCTTGTAGATAAAAGGATGCGTGTTAGAGCTCAGCCTAACCTTGTCTGACTTTTCCGTTAATAATCGATTAGCACCCCACTGTCGCTAATCTTAACTCGTTAACATGGGCGCAGACTTGGTTTACTGAGGTATCTTGAAAATGGCATTAGGCGGAGAGAAGCTTAAGTTCTATTTTTAATGTAAACTCCCTGTCGATGATATTCTTTTTCTTCTTTCGTTTTTACACATGTGGCCGTGATTTCTTTCAATTAGAAATGATGTATAAGGCACCGACTGCTAGATTTTAAGTCTTCACTTACCACCTGCTTCCGATCCAGTTGTGTCGCAGGTCATATCTGAGCTTGGACATTGCTTAGAAAACAAATAATTACGGTGTAGCTAAAAGAGGAAAGATGTAGTTTTCTAGATTCAGAGGAGCCTTTGAGTCTGGTTAAACAGAAGAAATGGAGAAGAAACATCTGGTTTTTGATGGACACTCCTAACCTTCATTTTTGTCTGTAAAGAGGCAGAAACGAGAGAGGCACAAACTGCAATGTAGCTAAACACAGGGCAGAAGTCGGGAACGCCCCGTTCTAGGCTTGGTTTGGCTGCTAAATTGTTTCATGACCTCGGACAAGTAACAATGTAAAATGAGGGGGTCTGATCATCTTATTGTTTTCTCCTCTAAAAAAAGCTTCCTGGTTCTGTAATGAGACTGATAACATTACCAATAGCCAATCAAGCCAGAATCACGAAATTCCTTGCTGTGGTATGTTAGCGAAACCTGTCTGAGATAAACTTATCGAGGATTCAGCAAACCCTAGCAGAGATATAGGTGAAAAGATACACTTTTTTGCCATAAATTAACATTTTCCCTCTTTCTTGTTTCTATACTTCTTAGATAAAAATAACACCCTAAATTCTTAATAGAGTTCCATTGGACTAATTAGTGCTGGAGAATGATAAAAATAACCTGAAATTAAGCTTCCCAATGTAATAAATTAATCCAAACCATCAGTTTTGAATTCTTTATTTTCTCCAGCCAGATTCTACGGAATTTTTCTTCTTCTATCTTACAGTTCATTTAGTAACAAAGAATCCAAAGTGTTCAAACTTATAATAAAATTCTGACCTACTCTTCTAAGATGAAGTTCAGGGTGTGATTCTTTTGTGAGGAGTATGCAAAGATCAAGATGCTTTTAGGGGGCATAACATAGTACGTGAACCCAAATCCAATTTTTTCCCAATCTTTATTAAAGAGAAAAAAACTGTGGTTTTGTGGGGAGGTGGGCAGGTCTGGATATTTTCCAGAGTTTCTTGGATTAAGTGTCAATGTATAATAAAGGTAAATAGAAGTATGAGAGTTAGCATAATGATTTGCCGCTACGAAGATAAGATTGATCTGAATTTGATTTAGCCATAGAAATGCCTCCTATAGGAGCAAGGTCTGTTTAGAGCAGGCAGAGTCTGGGCTGTCACTTTCTGGTTCTCTCATCTTAGATAAGTAAGTTATTTAGTCTGCCTAAAGCTCAATTTGCCAATCTGTAAAGTAGAGACAATAATATCGTCCCAGTGTTCTTCTAAAAACTAAATGAGAGAACATATTTAAAGTACTTACCACAATGCCAGGCACATAGTAACTGCTTAATAAATGGTAGCTATTATTTTAGTGAGATTTCTTTCACTATCTAAGAATTAATTTAGTAACAAACAATCTAACACAGTCGAACCTACAAAAGGTCTCATCTTAAGATGAGCTGCTACCTAAAATTAAATGAGCTTTCTTTTTAAAATATAATGATTAAAGATGCACTCTTACATTTTCCACAATTCCTTTTAAGAGAGAAGAAAATCTCTGACCAAATTTTTCCTATAAATAAAAGTGTCAAAATGTACCCCGATTTTCATGTATCGTTCGGTATTTTATATGACACAAAATGGTAACCAATAAAAGTTTTCCAATGGGAATCATCTGTGAGATGAATACATCAAATTGATAATAATTGAACATTGAAGAAATGGCAGATTTATGTGTTTTCTCTGAGCTCAAGAAATCTGCAGGGTAAAGCTCCCCAAAGCTAGATTGAGGGGGGTCTATTTTCTTTCCTCTATTAATCAGGTCCAACTCCACACCATGCTCTCTTCTCTCTTTCTTTCCTTTTCCCCTTCCTGTCTCTGAATCTGTCTTGACAATCCAGCTTAGCAGGCGTACGAATACATACAATTCTTTGTATGTATTGGGTTCTGTAGGAAAGGCACATGGATACAACCCTCCAACCCTTGTTAAATACCTTCAGCTCGTAAGTGGCACACCCCTCCCTGACTTTTATCGATTCTAGCTAATAACAATTAATAAGCTTTGTGGATAAAATACAAACCATATACCAGTTTGCAAAAATAACGATGATATTCTAATGTGTCACTTTATTGGCCATTGCGGGAATAGAGATGCACAAACACGTGGAGAAGCTGTCCCCGCCAAAACAGACTTCAGACTTTAAAACTGACTTAGAAACGCCCAGACACCATTTTATCTCGGTCAGTTTTCGGAAACCAAATAAATGTTATTTTATTATTAAAATTTAAAAATACCCTTCCAGGGCAAAATTAAAATAATGGGTCTAGCATGTTGCTCCTTTAGTCTACGACAAGTTTAGTATTGAGGCACAGACCCTGTGGAATAGAAACTGCATGTCGTTGCTCAATAGTGACATCTGGCTGTGACCTGGGAACGTGGTTTGTCGCTGCTCTGGCACCAAAGTAGCTGGAATCTTAACAGTTAACTCTCAAGCATGAAGAGACTTATTTTCTAGTTTGTGGATTTTTTAGAATATATATGTATATACTTATAATATATAATATATATTTATATATGAAGAGTGTATATATGTGCATATATATACACATAATGTGTATATATATAGCGACTCTTCATTTCCCATCTATTCTCTGCCAGTTGGCTGAAAAGCTAATCTTAGCACTCTTAACAGGAGGTTAAGAAATCGTGGAATAAAAAAAAGGAAACGTGTCAACTAATATTGTTTCTGTTGTTTGATGGCTTTAAAAATACAAACTTTCCTTACAGAAGAAATCCAAATGATAGATGTAGGCACCTCTACACCCAGGAGGTGGCATTGATCCCCTCCCCGCTCCCTAGAGGGTCGGCCGGACTCGGTGACTCATGAAGAAGAGACTATGGAAGGGAAAAAAGCAGTCGCCTTACAGGGGAGAGGGCTGGCAGACAACCCCTTCCCTGGGTGACTCAGGTGAACATTACTGGGGACGTGTGGGTAGCAGGGACCCCGGATAAGATGTCACAAAAGCCATATTATGCTACAGCATTTCTTCCCAAAGCCCATAAGCCCAGTCTAATCGCAACCAACCAACCAACCTCAGTACTCAGAACGGTCAGGCTGCGAAAAACAAGGAGAGACTGAGAAACTGTCACAGGTCGGAAGAGACCGCGAGATCCACTCTCCGCGATGTGGTCTCCTAGGCGGGATCCTGGACGGGAAAAGGGCGTTAGCGGAAAAACTGGCCAACTCCGGATAAAGTCTGAGGTCAAGTTAACAGCACGGTGCCAAGGCGAGCTCCTTAGTTTTGACAAACGCACCACAGAAATGTAAGATGAAAACCTTAGGGGAAAATGAAAATGGGTGAGGGGTGTACGCGAATACTCTGTGCTGCCTTTGCAAATTGTCGGTGCATCCCAAGTCTTCCAAAATAATTTTAAAAAAAAGTTTATTGTTAAAAAGTAGTAAGTACCGGCTGTGTCCATTTCTATGCTGGGCGTTCTTGAGGATAACACCTCGTATTTGAAGAACGTGTCAGAAATTAAATCGCGTTTTTCTACGCTTCCGTAGCGGCCCCGTGAAGCAGGCGAGACGGAATTCTTTCCATCCGATGTCGGGACGAGGAGGCAGAGTCTCAGAAGTGTCGTCCTGCTCACAGTCACACAGTGGGTAAGAAGCAGCAGCGGGGACGAACCGCGGGGCTCACGGCTCCACCCGGAGGCCTCGCTTTCCATCCTACTTTTTCTCACCTTTAAATTCTAATACGAGTGATGATGTTGGGAGTGAGCGACACGAGGTTGCTGCATGCGATGTCGCCCTGTCATCCCAGCCCCTCCGGGTGAGAGTTTAAGTGTGGGAAAGAATAGCGAATGCTGTAAGAAAAAAAAAAAAATGGAATGGGAAAGAATAAGTCAAAGTTCCAATATTTACTCCCAGTCTTCATCATGAAGTAATCGAGTTCTCTCTGCCAAGAAAAAGTCCCTCGCATCCTTGAAGGCTTGGCTCACGAACTGCCCTGTGAGCCAGCCCTTCCCCTGGCTCCCCCCGCTCCCCCGGCAGGCACGGAGCCTATGCCACCCCCTCTGCACTAAAGCAGCGATTTCCACTGTTCTTTAGGTGGCTTTGGGGCGGGGTGGGGGGGGGGGCATAAATATTAGAAATATGCATTCGTAGTTTTGCTATTTATAAAATGATCTCCCATCTCTCCTTTTCTTACAATCTCTTTTTCCACTCAAATTGAGTCCTCAACCATACCCTTTTTTTTTTTTTTTCCCCTGGCCAAATGGCTCAATGTGGGTGGGCGCGCTAAATGAAGCTAAAAGTCCCAAACTCAAACATCTACAGTGACTGGTGAAGGAGTAGAAACGTTACGGTAAAGGAGGCCCAAGTATAGAAAAGTCGAGTGGCCTTGTGTGTCTCTTATTTCTTTACTTTTGATAGACCCACAATGCCTGGTATTTTTCTAACATAAGGAAAATGGCGCCTGACAGTAAATGGTAACTGACATCCGACCTCAGTGTCTGAGGAGGAATGACTGGGAACGATCAAAGTGTTGGCCTGTTTAAGGTGGCAGAACCAGTTTGTTTCTAATCATTGTTGCCTCGTGGAAATTCAAGGACAGTATTGCTAAACATCCTTTTCCTCTTTTCATGTGAAGCTGGAAATTTGAATTTTTATAGGAAACCGGTTTTTAAATTTGGGCTTACATTTAGTTAAAATCCTGTGCTGAATGAGGGAGATATAAGTGGCCCCGTTTGGCTGACGTACGCCAGCCGCAGACTCCGTTTAAACAATGTGTCAAGACTAGTATCGAAATAAAACACTGCACCGAGAGATTCGGAGAAAAGATTTATGCAGGACCAACCTGGGACTAATCTCTAATTCCACTGCTGAAAGGCCTTCTTTTGAATTAAAAAGGTGTTCTCGATTCAAAACGCAAAGATCTCTTAGGAAGTACACATTAAGTTGTTACTGAAGTACTTAGTGCAAATGATAACATTAGATCTTTTTAAACTATTGAACAGATAAGACATGAAGATAAGAAGAAACTGAACAAAGCATATAAAATTAGAAGGGCCAGCCGCCCAGCTAACAAAGGGCTCAAAACTGTACGTTGGGGTCTGAAACTAAACTTCTGCCTCATGATTTGACTTTCATCAGTCGTCAACCTTGACTTACATGATGGTTCCAGGAAGGAATCATTGTTCTTTTCACAAATCTTAAAACGAACAAACACAACGCAGACTTCCTCACTTCTGATGGAATGTTTTATCCTTGATTTGTTTCGTTTCCAGATGACAAGGTGTGAGGGAGGGGCACGGCTTACATGAGCATGAAGTTCGTATAGGAAGCTCCCACAAAAGCCCACCGTACGGATCCCGTCTGACAGTGAAACGCAGTGCCCGGTTCTTCCTTAGACAGGCATGCAGGCCCAGTTAAAACGCATCCGGGGAGAGGGGACCGTTAGCCCGCTAACGTTTCAGCAGGCGTGGCTGGACTCTCCGGAGAAGCCCTCGGCTCTGTAGGCACAGCCTGACCTCGGGGCGTTTAATTTCTTCATAAAAGGACAGAAAGAGAATCCCCGAACCAGAAATGGAGACTTGAGAAGCTTAGAAAGTATGACCTTGGCCGTGGTTTTGCCCGTGGTGAGTTTTGTGAGTAGATATGACGGTGTCATTTCCTCCCCTAGAAATATTGTCCTTTGTTCTCCCACCTCTTACTCATAGCAAGAGAGGAAAAATAATAATTTTCCTTCTACCCCTTCTAAGTTCTTCTGGCCGGTCTAATAATCAAATCGACATGAGACAGATTAACAGGAAAAAAATAACTGAACTAATTACGGAGGTTCTGTAAGAATATGGGACCCAGTCAGTTGACGCTTACATGCCAACTTGAGCTAAGAGACGGAGATTATGGTTTGGGGCTTCAAAGGGCAGGAGAGCAATTCACAAAGAGATAGAATGTTTGCTGGGCCGTCCTTTACAGTGAGACACAGAGAGGACTTTGATCCGAGGGGCCTTGCTATGCTCCTGCTTATCTGTCACACTAGTTCATATGAAACTATAGCTATCTGTGATGCTAGGTCCCTTCCTGGAACAGGTTCTCTGGCAGTTAGGGGGCAGGTCAAAGCTTCTTCTTGAGTCTTTTGTTTCTTAAAAATAACCAGCTTAAAATAATCAATATCCCAAAAGGGGGTGGCAAGCTCTGCTCCCCATCACGAGCTACATCTCTGCTGGACATCCAACTGCTTGAAATGAATTTCGAATCACTTTTATTTGGTAGACTTAAGGAATAATCGAGGTGACGTTTGAGCCTTTCTGAAGGGTCTTCCGTAATTCTCAGGGCACCTCGAGTTATTCAGGCATTAACTTCCTTGGAATGTCCTTCTGTTCTGAATTTCCTTTGTGGAACTCCAGTCTGCTGCTGAGACAAGGTTAATTACAGTGCTGGGAACTCCCATAGCAAAGACTTTTGGAGCCGAACAAGGAGGGAACTGACAACAAGCATCTTAAGAAAAGAATTATGTCATTAGAAAAAAATGTTTAAGTTTATGTACTCTTTGAATTACATGATCTGGATATTTCTCTCAAGTGAATGTTTTTTTAGTATTGACTGAGATTAGTTTCAACTCTGCGGCCCTTCCTTGAATACAGTTCTCTCCCTCACCGATGTAGGCAAGGACTATCCTAATTGACCTAGACCACCTCTATCAATAACACCGTTTAGTTAACTGCCTGATGGTTTTTTTTTTTTCCAAACCTCATATAGCCCATCATTTAAAGTCATTCTTTCTTTGCTCGGTGTTATGTTTGTGATGTTAGTCTGTGTTGTTATGACTGTCTTGTAGTTCATTCATATTCATCACTGTATACACAATTGCTTATGTATGTAAAATGAAAATTTACATAAAACATATAAAATGTGTTCATATTAATATTCTGTTATTAATTTCATTGACTATTTCTACTCTATCTGGCTCCCAAAATACATTTAATGCAGTGTTTTTACTCATTTAATAATCAAAGCTCCATATAGTATAAAACATTCAAAATATCATATAAATATACATAACCATTTGAAATACAGCATTTTAAAAGTAGAAATAGTGTGAATAATTTTATTTATCATCACGATTTGAATATTATTTGAGGAACTAAGGGAAAAAGTACTTTCTCTGAATTAAACATAAAGGCTTTTCAAAGATATACTGTTTGCACCTACTGGGAGCAAATGGAAATGTTAGGCTCAATAATATGCATTAATTTTTCTGTCCAATGTGTGCATTTTATTCTCTTCTCTCTGGTAGGGAAAAACCTTATTATTAAATCATTAATGTTATTGTTTATAAGGAGTTATAGCCAGTTAACTAGGAATGCTTTTATTATGCTTAAACTATCTCTTACCTTTTGAAGGATATCATAATTTCAACAAATAACTAAACTTGCTTTTTATTTTTTTTTTTTAAATTACCCCATAAATTCACATGTTTTTCTTCAGAAATCATGGCTGATTGACATGTGGCATTAAAATGAACTCAGTGGCATTTTATGGCATTTTCATTTTTTTCTTTAAGAAAGAAGTGGTATTAGCATCATTAGGGTTTACAAACGTCTTACATCATATTACAAAGTTAAAAGGGAATGAGGAAATCGATTCCTGACTTTGAAAGAAATTCTCAACTTAAAAATCCATCATCATAAACTTGTGATGGCAAAAGATGTAGACATATACTTCATAAGAAATTGTTAATGTGATGTCGATTCCCAATCGGAGGTAGGTGGTTTATAAACCCTTTACTGTTAATAATGGAAGCAAAATAACGTTCCTTTCCCTTTACTCTAAAAACTAGGGAACGGTCTTCAGAGACAGGACTCCGAGGAGCCAGCGTGGCGTTACGCAGGAGTGAGAGAAGCTTTCTCCTAATCGACTCATACGTGTTGTAAGTCCGAGGTCCCAAACAGAGATTGGATCTGGTTTGGGTCCCCTGCCAGGGGTGACAGGATCTGGGCACTTTTTATTTGCCACATTTCTGTTGATTAGGTTTTGGCATCATCTTATCATCATTTGATTCAAGAGTTTCCCTTTAAAAAGCAAACAAACAAAACACCTGTCTTCTCTACTTGGAGATTCTCAGAGTACATGGTTTTTGCTCTGTCAGACATACGGAGCAGGGCTGGGCATGGCCCTATCTTATCAGGCCTCTCACACCAAGGTGCTGGTGCCCCGTACATGTTGCTGTTCACCTGTGGTCACTTCTCCCCGAGCTTTTCTCTCTGTCCTTCTCCCTCTGGTACAAAGTGCCAGCTCGTTTTGGTCGCTCTGTTCCTTGGCGTCATGATTCAATTTCTTGTTCAGAATGAACCGCGTCATCTCTGACACCAGGAAGCTCTTTGAACAGACTGGCCAAACACTGCAAAGGAAATGACCCCACGGGTGGGCTGTTCGTTGCGAGGGATGTGATCATTCACGGTCACATGCCAATGGCTGGAGAGCAGTTCGCACCTTGCTAACTAGTTACCGTCCACAGCTTCGCTGTCAGATCTCCTAGGATAGTCTCACCTGACTTCAGTCCTGCTGTTTCTCTGCATTTACTGCTTTAAGCTGACCAAAAATATTACGTTACATTAAGATTTAAAATTAAAATCAATGATTATTCTGGCGTAGTGGCAGAATGCTGCTGCTGAATGCCGCCGAATTTCTCATTAATGTTAATTTGTAGTTTGTAGAGAAATGGTTTAACGACTGAGCTATACACATATAATTCAAATATTAATTAACCGAGCCATACATCTGTGATCACGAAAGAGTTGCTTTTAACTGTCTGTGTTTGATTTTATGGTCTTTCTTAGCATTTTCAAAATTCATCATATTTCAGTAATAGTATGCAATGTACTTTTCTAGTAGGTTGGTTATTAGAAAATATTTTCCAATTTTTGAACAGCATATATTTGTTTTAAGTTGCCAAGAATGACATAAAATTTTCCAGTGAGATCTTTGCCAAAAGGCACAATAACCCTGATGTTAATATTATCATCATTAACCGTGATTTACTGTGTATATTTTCAGAACCTGGGAGTGAACTAAGACTCTAATTTTCTCTAGTAGAAGAAAATGATGCCGTAGATCCCAAATTAGTGCGATAATTAATTTGAATTGTTTTTCTACATCGTGGTAATTAACTTCCTCTGTGTTTAAGCTATAAACACATATGTCATGTTTTAGCATTAGATGAACATTTGCCCACAGAACAGTAATTAAAGATCCACCATCCTAACTGGATGTGTTTGTAAATCCCAAAAAGAAAATCGATTTTTATAAAAGAACATTTCATTTCTTTGTTCATTAGCAAGTATTTATTGACGGTGTAGGGCATGATCCTAACTTCTGCTGAGGGGTAACTCACGTTCTTTAACTTCAAGGTATCTTACTATAAGCTAGGAAATCGATAAGGCACGTATGCAGTAATCATGTCTAAATGCCACTTTTTATGCATTTTTCCACAAACTCTCTAGGCTTGTGAGAACCAGAGAGAGAGAGAGAAACTATAAAACTATCGCAGAGATGAAGCTTCTCTTCGGGCCTGTCATATGTGGCTGTGCCTTCACTCAAGAATACACGTGCTGAAGCTGTAACAGGACAATGCAAACTTTAGCGAAGTCAGAATCATCAGGAGGACGTTAGAACTCAGGTGCCTAGGCCCCGCCCTCCAAGTTTCTGATTCGGCGGGTCTAGGGCAGGCCCTAGCGCAGGGCCTGAAGATTTACTGTTCTGGCAAGTTCCCAAGTAATGCTGATGTTCCCGATCCCGGAACCATGCTCTAAAAAAACACTGGATCCGACACTCCCCAAACTGGTTAGCAGGAAAAATTACACAGGGAGTATTTTCTTTCTTTCATTTCAGACTTCCTTCCCTTCCTCCCTCCCTCCCTCCCTCCTCCTCACTCTTAAGAGACTGAGCTGTCTATGCCAAGGATCAAAAATCAACACTTTTTAAAAGCTTACACTGTAATTTACAGACCCAACGCCTCTTCCTAAGGTGTTTGTAGTCGACTCACAGAAGAGATCATAAACACATGGACGTCATTAGAACTAATTCAAATGACAAAGAGAACTTGTTAAGTCCTATGACTCTTTGTTCAGGTGAGATCGAAAGGAACCCGAACGGAAGGAGGGTTCATGAAGGAGGAAGCTGATCGGTGAGGATACAGAGGTGAAGTGTGGGGAGCACTCAAGGCAGAAGCGGCGGGGGGCAAGGGCGTAGTGGGGGTGAAAAGCGCTAGACGTGTTTGGAGACAAGGGATTAACGCGCTTGGAGCGCAGCATAGAGTAAATATCATGGCACAGCGACAATGAAAAATCCAGGGATCCATTTCTCAGATGGTTTGTGGTCAAAAAACTCTTGAGAGTGTTTTTTTATTTTATTTTATTTTTTTGCCTTGAAAGCCCTTAAACTAGGTATTGAAATAAAGTGAACTTGATACAAAAACAGCAGCTTTAGTTGCTGTATCATAAAGTATTAACAAAAGTTTTCAAAAAAAATGAATGTGCACATATGCCATAAATATTAATACATATAAAATATATGACTATAAAATAAGCAGTTATAATATTTATAAATCCTATGCATATGTAAGTAAACATGTATAATGTTAATGATAAAAAGAGCTAAAGCTGTTTGAAACATTAATAAACAAAATTATTCAAAATATTTTTATTTTCTCTTGATTCCAACCTTTTACATTTTTATGCCTGTTTAAGAATGTATCTAACATATTAGTAGAGTCATAAGTATAAATATGTATTTATAAATATACACAGTACATTCTCAAAATGTTTTACCTTAGAGGAGGTGATAGTTTTTAAAAGTTTGAGGACTACCAGTTCACATTTTGGAATAATGATTCATTGAAGGTTTTGATCCAGGAAGTAATACATCAATACATCAGGATATATCAAGAATGGTATTGAAGAAAAAAATGGTACCGATATGCTATAAAAGAGACTATTCCGTAATGAACTATAAAACAGAAAGAAGGGAGATAGCAAATAAATTGTCAAGATAATTCAGGGCTTGAATAAGGGGTAACAATGGAAATGGGAAGGAGAAGCTGGGTGCAGTGGTACTGTGGAGGGAAGCTCTACGCAATTTCAATAAATGATTTGTTACTAGAGAAAATGAGGGGTGATGAACCAGCGGTAACTATCGGTTTTTCCCCTGGGTAACTGAATAAAGATAGAAATGAATTAAAAGTAGAAATGCTACGTTCTATGTTTGGTTTGGAATAGAATATATTTTCTTCAATGTGGGTCATGGTTTATTCAAATAAATCAGACAATTCATTATTCATATTAATTTTTAATTTATTGAATAAATGCTTATTCAACTCCCACCACATTTCAGAAACTCTATAAGGTACCCAATATTCAAAACAATACATATTTTTCAGGTGGTTATACATGTTCGAATTTCCCATTTGTTTTTCATTTATTTTCTGCTGTTGCAATCACCTAGATTCGCCCTTCGCATTCTAAATTGGTACAAAAGTATTGATTCCAAGGACATGATTTTATCATTATTTTCTCTGTGTTTATTTTTACATCTTTCTGGAGTTGTCATTTATCATCCCTTTACTCAAAAAAGTTCAAGCTGTGAATAGAGACTCTGGACAAGGACCTGGAACCTAGTAGCAATTTCCAGAATACTTCTACCCAAGCTGTTCATCTAGAAAGGGGGCTTTTTAAGTTCTCGCCTTTTCTTGTAAGCAGTTTTATCTGGCTCCTTCTCAGCCATTTAATTTTACCTATAAATTTTACTTTAAATTTTATTTATAATTTCTGACACAACTCTTACTGTATAACTCCCTCATAAATATAATCGCCTAATTTGGGTACATGACATTTTGTACCCACTCCACCTCCCGTCCTACCTCCCAGCCCACTCAGTTGCAATTAATCTCTGTTGTTTCTCAAAGTTAAGCGACATCAACAGGACGGTCCCTTCCACTCCCCCATGCAAAGGGTGTAACTAATCTCTCGACTACCTAGGTGGATTTTGCCCCTTTCCTGTATAGATTCTACTTCCTAATCTGTCTCATGGACCACAATCGATCATTCTGTTGAACACATTTACCTCTCCGGTGTTGTGTGCTGTCAGGTTGGAACTATAAATCGTAAGGTCTTGACCATTGGGTGGGCCTGACCATTGGGTGGACTCGCTTCAGGCCTTTGAATGTTGAGCAAGGGCAGGTAGAAGAACTAGCAGGCGTGCCCTACAAACCATCAGGTGATTCCAGCTACTGAGATTCTCTGTTGCTGCTGGTTCCCAGGTGAGTCTTCAGCCTGCCCTTCGGTCCTTTGAGCTGTTTTCACGCCCTCCCAATAAACTCCCCTATTATTTTGCAGCCCCCAAACTGGCAAAGGACACAGGCAGCCGAAGGGAGGCTCCGCAGATGACAAAAAGGCTGTGCTTAGTGGAGAAAGGGTAAGAGGCTGTACCCACGCTTCGGTCAGGGCAGCCATCCTGTTATCTGTTCTATAGAATTCATTTGAAGAACGTTTGAAATCATTTCATTGCTACAAAGGTTTGCAATCATTACATCCGTGATTGCTAAGGTTTCAGAATACTAAGGGCAAACTGAAGAATGAGAACTATCGTGAAAACAAAACAGAAACCAAAACAAACATCCGGACAAAAAGAAAATGAGAAACTCGAGGCAGCTTTCAAAACTCGTGAGGTATCAGAGAGAAGAAAGACATCGCACATACCTCAAGGCAAGAAGCCTCGATGCCCGAAATTCAGGACTAAGCCATAAAGTCAAATAATAGGAGATACAAGGAGAGGGCTCAGGGAGTGTGATGAGGGAGAGATGGGAAACACAGGATCGTCACTGCAAAGTCCCCGAGAGAAATAAATACAGGGGAAAACGGTACATGTTACAAGGACTTCTACAGAGACATCAATTTAACTAAAAATGAAAGCTAGAAATTTCATACTTGATTTCTCAGCTCTTCTGGACACTAGAGCATGGATGTGCTAAGTAGACACTCAAACATAGAAACATGATCCAGGGACACAGAGAGACTAGCACGGTGGGGAATTTTTCCTAGAGGTGGTGTCTGTGGCACGTTAATTTCTAGGGGCAGCAGTGCCGATATGTAGCATCAGATACTTCATAGGACCTAGAACAGTGCTCTAGACCCAGGACAATTGTGCCTCTCACGGACATTTGGCAATGTCTGGAGACTTTTTCGATTGTCCCAGCTGAAGAGGGTGTTACTAGCAGTTAGTGGGATGCTGCTAAACACTGTGTAATAAACAGGACAGCCCCCACGACAAAAAATTATCCAGTCCAAAACGTCAATGCAGTTGACCCTTGAACAACCTCCATTTGAACTGTACAGATCCACTTAAACACAGATATTTTTCAATAAATACCTGTACCATTTTCAATGTGTGGTTGGGAGTCTTTGGGTTCGGAGGGCGACTGTATGCATTGATCTACGCCATTTCATACGGGGATTTCGGTATCCAAGGGAGACAACTTAAGTTTTGGGGGAGTCAAGAGTTACAGTTGGATTTTTGACTCGGGTGGAGGTGAGGTGTTCAAGGGCCAACTGTAGTGCCAAGGTCGAGCTATCCTGGCTTAGAATGCTTAAATAATATCGGAATCAAATATTCTTTTAAAGGTTAAATAAAACTCAGCTATGAGGTCATCTCTTCCTGTGCCTGTTTCTATGTGGGCTTTCTAATCACCTTTATGGGCTTTTCATTGGTAGCTGATGAAGCAAGTCCTAACATGATTTTTCTACGTATAAAATCATGTCACGTGGCCTCTTCTGCAAGCTCACTGAGCTCCACGCTTTCCTGTCATTTCAGGGGTTTTGATAAAAATAAGTGAGGTAAAGATTATTAATTATAAATTATACAACTTTTCTGTAGATTATTTTGGATTTCTAGAGATACAATCATGCCACCTACAAATAATGTGAGTTTTTCTTTGTTCTCGCCAGTCTTTACGATTTTATTTCTTTTTCTTGACGTATTTATTATTCTGTCTAGAACCTCCAGTGCAATGTCGAGTCGGAGTAGTGATATTCTGCTTTATTTCTGATCTCAGGAAAAAACCTTTGAATATTTCATCAAGTATGATGTTTGCTGTTGTCTTCTGTATACATTCTTACTCCAATTAAGGAATTTTCCTTATATTCTAGTTTGTTTCACTATGAATGGATGTCTGATTTTTCTGCATGTATTAAAAGTTCATATATGGAAGAGAGAATAGTCTTTTCAACAAATGGTACCAGGGAGAACTAGATAGCCATATTCAAAACATAATGAAGTTTGATCCCTAGCTGAGACTGTACACGAATATTAACTCAAAGTGGACCTTGGACCTAAGTAGGTATGCTAAAGCTATAAAACCCTTAGACGGAAACAAAGGAATAAATCTTTGTGATCATGGGTTAGGCAATGATTTCTTAAACACCAAAATCACAAATCATAAAAGAGAAGTGTGGGAAGTTGGACTTCATCAAATCGAAATCATTTGTGCTTCAAAGAACCCCATAAAGAAAATGAAGAGACAAACTACAGATTAAGAGAAGATATTTTCCTATAAGTTATCTTATAAAGAATTAGTATCTAGAATATATAAAGAATTCTTATGACCCACTATCGTTATTCACTAGGAAATGCAAAATAGAATCACAATGAGATATCACTTCATATTGAATAGGATGGCTAAGACAAAAAAAAAAAAAAGACATACAATAGCAACTGTTGACCTGGATATGGAGAAATCGGGACTCTCATACACTGCTGGTGGGGCAGCCAGTCTGGAAAACTGCTTGGCAGTTCCTCAAAATGTTAAACATAGAGTTAGTTACCAAATGACTCAGCCATCTACTCCTAGGTACCTTCCTAAGAAAAATGAAAATGTACATCCACACAAAAACTCTCACACGAATGTTCATAGCATTATTCATAATGGCTAAAAATGGAAACAATTCAAATATCCATCATCTGCTGAATGGATAATATGTGGTTGGTATTATTATTATTATTATCATTATTATTATTGTTATTTAGCAATAAAAAGGAATGAAGTACTGATTCATGCCACCAAATGTATTAACTATCAAAACAACATGTTAAATGAAAGAAGCTAGATGCAAAAAGCCAAATATTGCAGACGTGATTCCCTTAATATGAAGTGTTCAAAATTGGCAAATCAATAGAGACAGGAAGTAAATATGTGGTTACCTAGGGAGGTGCAGAGGGGAAAATGAGGAATGATTACTAATTGGTACAAGTTTTCTTTTTGGAATGATGAAAATGTCCTAAAATTAGATTACGGTAATATTTGCACAACTCTGCAAATAAACCGAAAGTC